TCGCTAGCGAAACAAAAGCACTAGCGAGACGGCGAAGCGGAGCTACGAGGCCGCTTCCAAAAACTTGAGCGTAGAGAAAGCTACGAGAGCGAGATGAATGCTTCGAACGTGCCGACGGAGCGCATGCGCTCGTACAGTGCACGCGTCATTAAGCGACGTGCACACACTTGCAGTGATCGGCTCCGTACATTATACACAGTTCCAATTTGGCAAGCTAGGCCGCTCGCAAGTATCAGGTCTTGCGCGGCAGGAAACGGCTTCGTGATCAACGGACACTCTCACCTGACGCTGCCGCGTCAAGTCGCTGCACAGTTTTAGTCAAAATAAAACGCGTTTAACTCACAAAATAAAATAATTATAATATTACCTCGCACCATCGAGAACTCGAAGTCGGCTTCCACTTATCGCTCCTTGGTTTGGCCTCCCGGAGCTTGTGCCTTGCACGGTTTCTTTTCCTTGCGAGAACCGGTACATCCTGAACCCTTTTTTCGCGCTGTTCGAGCACTCAACGGTACTACAGCACCCCATTACGTTTTCTTCTAACGTCTCGCGGAGCGCAGAACGATCATTTTCACCGTCGTCTCTCGCTCACCGCTAGTCTGACGGCTGCCGGCTCGAGACGACAAGGCACATCATGGCGGATGACTCGGAATGCCATGCGCACAGTTGCCAGACTGTTCGATCAGTGCTGCCAGACTGGCGGCTGGATCAATAGACCGCCGAACTCTCCCAGTATAAAAGGCTCTGCCCCTGCCCTGCCCGGGGAAGGTCCCGAAATCGGACTCGCCAGGACTTGGTTTGCGTAGTGCAACCTTGAGCGTCTCAAACTGCCACTCATGTAGACTCGCATGCTCTGGTGCGGACCGCGAGATCACAAGATAAATACAAAAAATAATTTTGAACGCCGCCGAAGACGCGGTCTCACGTCTACCAAAGAAAAACCGAAAAAACAAAGCGTCGGAAAGCTAGATATTTTGGTGTCATTACGCAGAGATAAGAGTCGCGTCCCTGGGGGTGTCATTAATCCGGCACTTTCGACTGTCTTGCGACATTGTTTCTTCAGAGCTACACTCCAAAATAAACTCTCAGTGAAGGTGCTATAAGCAGTGCGAAACCCAGTCAGGTGAGTTTGTAATATCCGAAATGAAGGCGCCACAGGTTTGTTCAAGTCTTCAGCTTAAAAGGTCTTTCTCAGGTAAAAAGTAATCAGATTCTATTTCGCTTAATTTTTCTTTCCATGTCGTATTACACCTGAGACTGCGGTGGAAGAAATCGGAAGAACTTTCAGTAGAAGGAACAGACACAGAGAACAAATACGAGATGATTAGCTACCACCAGCTCGCCTCCACACTCACCGTCTTTTCACTCATCTTGCTTTGTTTTGTTTTTTTTTAACGTCGGATTTTAGGCAGTCAAGAAATAGAAATACCTCGCCGGCATAGCCGATGCACGCAGGACACTCTTAATAGTCAACCAAAAACGGCGCCAGGTACGGTATGTCAGGATAGCGTCGGGGCGACCCATTCCATTTTTCATAGATATTGGCTAGACCAAAATAATATCGGCAGAATCTTTCCGATTTAATTCCATAACAGCGCGATACTGTGTGCTGCCTAGGTTGTATATTGACACGTCTTCGTTCATTTTTTTTTTTTTGCGAGAGGAGATGATTTTTTTTAATCAAGGTTGAACCGAGAAAACTAATGCACGCGCGAAGCGTCATTTTAGGCTCGTGTCGAACGAAGATTTCAATAGGAGTTGCAAAAACTATTCTCTAGCACTTCCTAATCATACGCGACTCCGTGTGGCGATTAATTATACTCGATGCTTGTACCGCCGTACATAAACAACAGTTTAACCAAAGGAACAAATATGAATGGCTATGAAATCATGGGTGTATTTGACAGCATCGCTGTAAAGAGGGCGTGTAAAGGGTGTAAAACGTCAGCACACCCATTTTACACCCACCGATATTCAGAAATCGTGTAAAAAGCGTGTAGAAAGGGCGTCTTTCCTAACCTACACCCTTCTTACTCGATTATGGGTGTTACAATGTTTAGTGTGTACTTCCTTAGTTTGTTTCGACATTTCTTGGTTGCTAAACTTGGTAAAAATCGTACACGTCAAACAAGGGGCGAGCTCACAGAGTATGCCGACGATGCAGCACACTGATGATGCCCAAGATGCAGATGATAAACACGCCATCCTTGTTTTGCAGGGAACTAGAAAACCTAGGGTGAACTTAGAATACGAAAACACAAAATAGCTAAAAAGGAAATGCTGTAAGTTTGGTACACCCTGGCTACTCTTATGCTCACATTCACATATCACAGCTAAAACAAACGTTGATATACCGGGTGAAACAAGGAGACGGTAGGCTCTTTAAATCGACTGGAAAATTCGGTTTCTTAACCTATCGCGCTACGACTTTGTGCAGCGTTGTTCACAGATGGTGGATTTTTTTTGTAAAATTTCCAAAGAGCGAACTTACCTGAGGAAAAAGTAAAGAAAGAAAAAGGCTTAGCTCCTATGGAAACGCAGCGACGCCTCCGGTCTGCAAACAAAACGGCGCCGCTTCGCACGGGAGACAAGAGATGGCGCAAGTGGTCGCGACACCAACTGCCGCCAACGAACGAGCAGACGACGACGAGAGCCGCCGAAGTTAGCAGACAAGGAACTGCTGTTCCTCGTTGTTACCGCGCCTGTTTTTGTTTCTGCGACTGTCGCCGCCTGCGGAACACGCGCCGCTCGAGTCGAAAAGATTGTCTGCTAAAGACGCTGGCTCTCGGCGCCGTATGCTCGTTCGTTGGCGGCGTTCGTTGCGCCATCTCTTGTGTCCAGTGCGAAACGGCACCGTGTTGTTTGAAGACCGATGGCGTCGCTGTGTTTCCATAGGAGCTAAGCCTTTTTCTTTCTTTACTTTTTCCTCAGGTAAGTTCGCTCTTTGTAAATTTTACGAAAAAAAATGCACCATCTGTGGGCAAAGCTGCACAAAGTCGTAGCGCGATAGGTTAAGAAACCGAATTTTCCGGTCGATTTAAAGAGCCTACCGTCTCCTTGTTTCACCCGGTAGTTTTAAATGATCGAGTTAAACCCGGCGAATTATTGTGGTTGAAATATATTCAGCTGTGCACAGAAGCGGCGTGCTTGGGGCCTCCGAAGCACGCCGCTTTCTCCGAGCTGAGAGCAGAACCAAAATGCCCTGCTCACCATCGCTAAAGACGTTTTCAAGCAAGTCGTGGTTCTACCGCTCTTAATAATCTTGAAGTGGTTAGAGTCATAGAGTCCATATCCAAGTCCTTCCTGTACAAGGTAGCCGATAGCCTTGGGTTACAGATAAGGAAGGTGGAGGAGGGGCGCTTTTCTTTTGAGCTCATTATGCGGGAGGTAGAGGGCTTCTTATAGAAGTTTCGTAGAGGAGGGAAACAGGGTCAAGCCAGCTAAGATACCAGTGCTTGCCATTTTGCTTCTCCTCTCAGCTCCAAAAAAATTAAGGTGGGAGGTGGAGACGGAAAACGAACTTTTTTTTTAAATTGTAAAGATAGCTAAATGAAACGATTAGGGCATGTTTATAACACTAACATAGGACAAACTCCAAAGTTTCATGAGGCCATGATTATTCATTCTCGAGTTAAAAGAGCTCCTCAAGATGCGCCATATGTGACCCTAATCGCCATCCTGGAGAATCCGCAAAAGGCCGTGGCAGTGGGGAATTCGTCATGGTGACCGCTGGGTAGGTACCCCAGGCCATAACAGAGTCTTTCTTTTTTCCATTCTTTGAGACAATTTGTAGCAAAACATTGAACTTCTAGCTCTCGATCAAGCACACATTCATAACTGTTTTTATATTCAACGTTCTTAGCCCAGTTTTTGAAGAAAACAAGATTGCCATTGCCCTCACAAAGTTATTTAGGAACAGAACAAAAAGACCGCACGCAAATCGGAGGAGCTGTTCCTGAGATATAACGGGAATGAGCAGCCACGCCAGAGGAAAAATCCCTTTTGAGCAGGGGGATGGCATCACGTGATTTTTTTGAAGCCTAGTCATAAAAAAAAAGTCGGCCCGGAAGTGCGCCGGTTGGCGGTGTACTATAAAATTCTACCTCGTCCGGTGGCATTTACGAGTTACGGAGCCGTCGAAACTGACGGGCGGAATTAAGACGGCGAGTTAGGCTAGTTGGACCTGTCTGCATCTATTCTCGTATCCCTGTTGTTTTGGCGTTTAACTTTATGACGGACGGATCCGACCGAGGAGCGACGCGGCGATGCCCGAGATCGTCGAGATGCGGAGTCTGTGAACCATCGGAGCGTGAAATTCACGTGATAACGCAAGGCAGCGCTTGAGCAACAGTTCTGACGACGGAGAACGACATCAAAGGGGTAGTCTCTATCGAAGAGTCACCTTGCAAAGCGTTTGCGATCGCGGCGGTCGTGCTTGATTGTGTGGACGGATCGTGTTGGTGTTTCCTTACCGCGATGGGATTGTGTAGTGCACGAAATCGCAGTAATAGGCCCGAGCGGTCGAAGAAGTCGCCCACTACAGTGTTCCGTTTCATCGGTGAGTGTGTTCACCCTTTGCTGATGAAGCGCTTCATTGGCAAAGACATCTTTAGTTCACTAAATGGCCACATGCTTGAGAATAAACCTATGGAGAACCACGCCTGTCATCTCATGTTGTCTGTTGCACAGGTGACAGAAGTACTTAATATCAGACAGCGAAGCATAAGCACGGTGTCCACAGATGAACTACACAAACAGAAAGTAAGGCGAACACACACCCAACTCGGACAGTTCAAAGGCCAGTAGCCATATATATAAGCCAGATTAAACAGATTCCCATGTCTTCTGTCAGCCTTGTAATTATTTCGTCCGTCTGACTATCATATGTCAATGTTGTGTTGCAAATCTATTGCTATGCTGTAAATAAGTGTTGTATATATTGTTTATTTTTCGAAGTGATTCTAATGTAAATAAAATACATGAATAAAGACACCTCCAGACAAGGGGAGCTAGGCTTTACTCGCGGTGACAAAATGAGGCTGCCTCAGCAAGGTAAGTTGATATCCCACGGGCACAGCAGGAGGGGTATGGAGTTTGTTGCATGTCGTGTTGCAAGTTGCGCCAGGGAACGGTGACACGATAGAAAGGCAGAACAAGGGGTTTAATATGGCGATCGGCTCAGAGCCGGGTACGTTCTAGCCACGGGCGCAAGGCACGGGTTCATGCGCACGAGCTCTATCTGCTCGGCTGCTCAGCGCAGCGCTATCCAACATCTCCCCCATACAGAAGAGTCAAAGTCTTTGGGGAGCCTTGACGCATCGGCCACTTCTCGTGTGTGAATGAAGATTGCCTTCACATTCTGTACGTGCCTCTTGAGCATCTTCGCTGTCAACGACTTCCGCCTCCCGGACATTTGCAGGAAAAGGGACAAGATGAATTCGGTTACGTCGCACAACCCCGTTGTCAGTGTCTAAGAAGTAAGACCTGGGTTCCTCTGCTGGTCTCTGCACTGTACCTTTCTGCTTGATGTCAGTGATCCAAACTTCATCTCCATTTAGGACTTCAGGCAGTGTGCGTACGCCATGCCGTCGATTGAAGTCTTTCTTCTGGTTTTCTCGGTATAGTTCTTCAAAGTCGCGAAGTTTTCTCATGTCTGGCATGTGAGGCATGAGCATCTCGGGAACAATAGGGAGCTTGGTTCGTAAACGTCGACCCATAAGTAGATCAGCGGGGCTGTAGCTGTTTTTCAGCGGAGTCGACCTGTAAAAGAGAAGGGTCAAGTATGGGTCTTTTGTTTTTTCCATTGGTTTCTTGATGCATTTCACGGCTGCTTCCGCAAGTCCATTACTTTGGGGAAAATATGGGCTTGAGGTGGTATGCCTGAACCCGTATTCTCGAGCAAATGTAGCGAAATCTGATGACCAGAACTGAGGCCCATTGTCGGACACTGCCACCTCTGGAATGCCGTGGCGAGCGAAGATTGTTTTGCAGTGGTTAATGACGGTAAGCGATGTGAGTTTCTCAAGCCGTGCTATCTCGGGGTACCTTGAGAAATAATCTGTCATGATCAACCACCAGTGGCTGTTGAAGTAGTAAAAATCCATTGCAACGCGCTGCCATGGTCGGTCAGGAAATTCCGTGTTTAGAAGCGGCATCTTGCGATTGCACGTGGTTTTGATGCATTCGTTGCATTGCTTTACTGTGGCAGTTATCTCTGCTGCTATTGTTGGCCACCAGACACAGTCCCTTGCTCTTGCTTGTGTTTTCGTGATGCCGAAGTGGCCTTCGTGAAGGAGGTGCATGATCTCTTTTCTGCACGAGACTGGAACGACGACACGGGCTGCATAGAGGAGCAAGTCGTCTTCTACGGTGAGCTGGTGTCGGTGCTCAAAGAAAGGTTTCAGGTCTTGTGGCAAGTCTCTTCTGGATGGCCACTCCTTTGAGCTTAGTTTTCGTAGCTGGTTACAGACTGTGTCCGATTTTTGGCTTTCTTTTAGCCATTGTAGGCAATGGTCCTTGACTGGGATAGCTTTGTTCAAGGAAAGGACAAAAGCTTCGACGTCTTTTTCAAGGTCTGTGTCCCCTGTCTGTTGTAGAGGTGCTCGGGAAAGTGTGTCAGCTGCTAGTAGGTCCTTCCCTGGTACATATTCTACGCTGTACTGGTAGCGCATCATCCTCATCTTCAGCCGCTGGAGTCTGAGTGTCAAGTCGTCAAGAGTTTTCGACATGAGGATGGGGACGAGCGGCTTGTGGTCTGTCTCCAGCTTGAACGTTTTTCCAACCAGGTAATCCTCGAACTTCCCGCATGCCCAGACTAAGGCAAGAGCCTCTTTCTCAATCTGCGCGTAGCGCTTTTCGGTGTCTGAGAGCAATCTTGAGGCGTATGCAATGACAGCGAACTTGCCATCTGTTTGTCGCTGCCGGATCAGTGCTCCAAGTCCGAAGGAGGAAGCGTCTGCGCTGACGACTGTGTCCTTTCCGGGGTCGTATACGCCCAGTACGGGACGAGAAGATAGTACTGTCTTCCATTTGTCAAATGCTTGTTGCTGTGGAGAGTCCCAAAGAAACTCCTGCTTCTTCGACAACAAGGATGAAAGTGGCTGAAGACCCTCTGAAAGGTTTGGCACGAAGCGGGCAAGGTACGTGACCATACCCAGTACTCTTTGCAGCTCACTTTTGTTTGTCGGGCGTTTCATTTTCAAAATAGCTTCTACCTTCCTTTCATCGGGTCTGATGCCGTTGTAGTCTAGTTGATGGCCTAAGAACGTGAGCTTTTGGACGTTATATAGGCACTTGTTTTCGTTCAGCGTCAATCCAGCTTTGGTTAATCGCTGCAGTACGGTGCGTAGCGTCTCGTTGTGTTCTTCTTCGGTTGAACCCCAGATGAGGATGTCATCCATGTCACAGACCACTCTGTTAATGCCATGCAAAAGACTAGACATCTGTTTTTGAAAGTACTCTGGAGCAGACGATATGCCGAAAGGTAGTCCGTTGAAGGAAAACCTCCCGAAGGGTGTAATGAAGGGGGTGAGCTTCCTGCTGCCTTCGTCCAGTGGAATTTGCCAAAATCCCGAATTAGCATCTAATTTTGAAAATATCTTCGCGCCGTGCAGCAGTCCGAGTGTGTGCTCGACGGAAGGAATGGGATGCCATTCTCTCAGGACGTGATGGTTTAGACCAGTAAAGTCGACGCAGATTCTTACCGATCCGTTTGGCTTGAGGACGACTACCATGGGCGCACACCATTCGGTTGGTTCGTCAACAGGAGAAATGACACCGATTGTCTGCATTCGCTGTAGCTCCAACCTTGTTTTCACGTACAAGGGTATCGGGATGCGGCGTGGAGAGTTGATACAAGATGGTTCCGCTCCATCGCGCAAGCGAATGCGGTGTTCTTTCTGCAGCTTGCCGAGACCTTGGAATAGTGAAGGAAATTCGACTTTTGGGATTACCTTCTGGGTGACGGCATTGACGAATGTAAGTATCTGCAGATCATTGATGGCGGGCTTTCCGAGCAAGGACGTGTGGACGTCGTGAAGCACGTAGACGTCTTGAATTGTTGTCCTGTCGCGGTAAGCGAGTTCGAGTCTTGCAACGCCCTTAGTTGCGAGAAGCTTTGCGTCGGGCCCGTAAAGTTGACGAGGTGCTTCTGAAAGCAGAGGCTGACGTTTGAGCATGTCGAATGTTGCTTGTGAAAGGACGGTTTCGTCGGCCCCCGTGTCGATTTTGAATTTTACGGGTTGGCCTTGAACCAGGATTGTAGTCTCCCATTCCGAAGTTTCGGAGAACTTCACTGCTCCTAAAAATCCTTGTTCGCTGTTGGTTTCAGGCGCTTCAACGAAGTCGACTCGTCGAGACCTGCAAACAGACGAATAATGTCCTTTCTTGTGGCAATTACGGCACACTTCCGACCGCGCTGGGCATTGGGCGCGTCCGTGCTGCTCTTTTCCGCACCAGCGACACGGTCTCTGAACGCCGCTCTTGCTTGAGCTTGGAGATGGCTTCACTTCTGTGTGAGGTCGTTCGTCGTTCGCGTGAGTGAATTTCGCCGATGTCTTGACGAAACGTCTTTGGTTTGCTCCTTGTTGACGCGCCGCGGCGACTTTGTTGACAGTCGACTTGTCGGGATTGAGCTCAGCTTGCTGCTGACGTACGCTTTCGACCTGTCGGACCACCTCAAGTGCCTTCTGAAGCGTGAGGTCTGCGTCGAGTTGAAGTCTTGCTGAGAGCTTCTGATCTTTGATTCCAACTACTAGAAGGTCTCTGACGAGCTGTTCTTGAAGCTCGCCGTAGTCGCAGTGCTTCGAAAGTGCGTGGAGCGCCGTGACAAAATCTTCGGCAGACTCGCCTTCTTGTTGAACTCTCGTGTTGAAACGAGCTCGTTCGAAGATGACGTTTCGCCGCGGGATGAAATACTTGTCGAACTGCTCCATGACGACTGTAAACTTCTTGGCCTCCTCGGCAGACAGCTGGAACGTGCCATATATATCTTCCGCTTGGTCTCCCATGATGTAGAGCAACGCATCTATTTGGTGTGGCTCGGGCTTGGCGATAAGTCCGGAGGACGTGCGGAAACGTTCGAAACGTTTTTTCCACTTGGGCCACTCGGTCGGTGATGAGAAACAAAATGCTTCCGGTGGTTGTATGACAAAGGACGCCATCCTTTATCGCGTGGCTGCAGCCGAAGATCCCCGAGAGCAAAGTCGCCTACCTTCGTGTGGGTCCCTGGTTGGCGCGGCGGTGCCCGCTGAAGAGCTCTTGAAATCGGCTCATCGTTGGCGGCATCCCACTTCTGACACCATGTTGCATGTCGTGTTGCAAGTTGCGCCAGGGAACGGTGACACGATAGAAAGGCAGAACAAGGGGTTTAATATGGCGATCGGCTCAGAGCCGGATACGTTCTAGCCACGGGCGCAAGGCACGGGTTCATGCGCACGAGCCGCGGAGCTCTATCTGCTCGGCTGCTCAGCGCAGCGCTATCCAACAGAGTTCACCATGATTCGCTTTCATTCCTGTCACCCTGTGTTGGATCTTCCGAATTTTCGGACGGACGGCTCACATCTTTAAATCCTTTCTCGTTGCCGAAGAGATTGCAATGACAACGTCTGCTCTTGAATGTTTTCGGAAAAAAAAAATATTTTGTGTTTTGTTTTTTGAGCAGTTTGGAAGAGAATGCTAAAGCGAACGGAAGGACCGCTGCTTAGGACCGGCTTGCTCAGATGCAGCGTCTCAGTTGAAACAGACTTAAAACAAACACTGTCGAGGTTGGAGCGCGCGAGCGTTTAATACGCGATTTAAGATTGAGCGCTACCTTTGACAGCGCTTTCTCTGCTGAGACGCTGCTTCGAGCGAGCCGCTCGACTTACATTACGAAACCTCCTAGAGATTCACCAACGACGTAGGCGCACCGCGGAGAAGTGCTTTAGTTCTGAAATTCCACAGTTCATGCTCCATTGGTAGCGGTCGAGAATTACAAGGCAAAAGAACAACAAGCAGACGCTACAAATCCGACACCCACCGGCTCAACGCTCACTGTCTACACCGTAAATATAAGGCAAAAGAACGGCAACAGACGCTTTCCGACAACCACCGCCTCCGCGCTCACTGCCTACTCCATAAATACAAGGCAAAAGCAAGCAGACGCTACAAATCAGACACCCACCACTTCCGCGCTCACTGCCCGTTCCGTAAATACAAGGCAAAAGAAAGACAAGCAGACGCTACAGATCTGACACCCACCGCCTCCGCCCTCACTGCCTACTCCGTAAATTGAACATATACTACAGCTCAACCTATTTGCGCGTCTACTAGAACCCAGCAGAAAAAGTCACGTGGCGGGGCCGACTCGTCCCGAGATGCATACCGTTTCCGGAAAAAAAATGTGAGGAGGGTAGGGGGAGAGGCGGCTTCAGAAGAAGTTGCCTTGCGGAGGCTAGGCTCGTGACGTCATGCCCTTCCCCTGCTTTTGAGCAAACGACGTTTGAAATTTAGACACGCTTTCTGCGTCTAAATTGCGAACGCTGGAGCCCGGCATATCGGAAGAAAGTGCAGCGGTCGATGTGCTCGGGACAGCACGCATACTCGCTGCAACGGCTTTTTCCTTGGCGGTGACAGCCGATGGCACGGAAGATCCATTACTGGAAGCGTCGACGTAATAACCATTGCCGGCACGCTGTGGAGAAACTTCCAACTTTGCCATTCAGATCAGCTTCATTGAGCGCTTTCGCACGCCAATCGCGCATCGTGTGCGGATACGAAATAGATAGCCAAGCTACAAGGAACTGCGGCTGGCACGATCGTAAGGGAGGCGAAAAGCGAAGCTGAGAAACAATGTGCGGGGCGAGCAAGGAGACCACTACCGTAGCAGAGAACGCGACCGGCAGCGACGGAAGAAAACGAAGAGGAGGACGCGCACCGCGGCCAATAGTAACCGCGAGCTCCCCCGCCCGTTTCGTCCAATCACGGCTGGGCAATTGCGACATGGCAGAACGCCGACCGCGCTCATACAGGCCCAAATCTCTAACGTCATGCCTCGGCAAGACTATGGAGCGAATTTTCCTGTGCCGCCTCAACTACCATCTCGAGGCGGCGGGTGCCTTGCCAGAATGCTTCTCAGGGTTCCGGACTAAACGCTGCTCGACGTACTACATCGGGGACTTCGTCAGCTCGCTCGAGGAGGCAGGGCAAGGGGGCACCTCCGCGGTGCTCGTCACAATCGATATTCGACAGGCCTTCGACGCGCTCCCACACACTACCATCATCGACACCCTGCGAAGGCTCGGGGTCACCGGGCGGCCGCTGAGTTTCGTCCGGGCGTTCCTCAGCGACCGAACGGAGACCGTCAAGATGGGCAAGGAGAAGAGCTCACTGCAACACCTCACGCGAGGAGTTCCGCAGGGCAGCGTGATCAGCCCTCTACTCTTCTCGGCCGGGATGTCATCTGTTCCGGCGGCAGCCCATGCGGGGGGCACGGCGCGATACCCAGTCAATGTCGCCTTCTACGCGGACGACGTCGCGTTGCGGGTGATGGACTTAGCGGCTGAGAGAGAATGAGGGCCGTGGCGGAGCTTCAGAGACGCTGGACAATGTCAACTTCCACCTCAGACAGCTCGGACTCGCAGTGTCGACCGACAAGACGATCGCAGTCATCAACGCTCCTCGGGCGAAAACATTCCGACCGGCACTGGTCATAGACAGGACACAAATAAGGCAAGAAAAGGAGATCATGTACCTGGGCCTCGTCCTCGACAGGAGGCTGACGTGGGGGCCAGCGGTGGCGAGCGTTATCCAGAGAATGCGGCGCCGCATAAACACCCTGCGGTCGCTCGCCGGCAGCACCTGGGGGGTATCCCAGAGCAAGATGCTCCAACTCCACCAGGGACTGGTGCTGTCGGTGCCACTGTACGCGCTGCCGCTGCTCAGCCTCGGCACCACAAGTAGCCGACCTCGAGACGGTCCACCGCATAGCACACAGGATCTGCCTCGGGGTATCCAGGTCGACGGCATCCATCCCGACGTACACGGAAGCAGAAGGCAACACCGTCGGCAACCATCTCCAAATTCGCGCTCTCGGGCACCCCATCCGCATGTCCACCTGCGAGTCCGCGGCACCGCTGCTAGCTCGCATCGCAGAGAGGCCCGAGTCGCGCTTGGGGCAGCTCCTGTGCGTTCTGGGGACGTCGCCGGCCCCGCGCCGACGGTCACTCCCCTCCCTCCGCTGCACTCGGACCCCCACCAACTCACTGTCCAACTTCGGATCGACGGGCTGGGCACTCGGCGAAGAACGGCCGACGTCGCGGCAAAACAGCTGGCGGAGAACCACATCGAGTGACACTACCCCGGCTGGGCAAGAGTGTACAGTACACCGACGGCTCCGTGCGGCCGGGCGACGGTTCGTCGACGGCGGCCATCTTTGCGGAGAGAGCGGACCACGGCGCGGGCGAGCTGCTCACGTTCCACGCCACCAGCTCCACCACGGAGTTCGCGGCGCTCCTCCTCGCACTGCACCTGGTCCACCACAAAAGCCGAGGCCCGGACAGCTGGCTGGTGCGCTCCGACTCCCAGGCGGCCCTGGTGCAGCTGTACGGTCTCGAAGGGGCAAGTCCCCTCGCACGAAGGATCGCCGAGGAAGCCCAGCTCCTCGGCAGCCTTGGCCACCGCTTGGCATTGCAATGGCAATTCACTGCGGGATTTCCGGAAACGAGCGCGCGGATGCCCTTGCGAAGCGGATCCACGACGATCCCGAGTTTCTGGCCTCGGATGTGGGCCCCTTCGCCGACGCCAAGCTCCTCGTCGCACGGAAGGCCGCCACAAACCACGCGGACGAGAGGTACGCGGCCGGCGACCGTCCGGCGAAGCCCCCTCGGAACTGGGACCGCCCAACCGCCGCAGTCGTCCACAGGATTCGGACGAGATGCGCTCTGACACTGGCGAGAAAGCATCTCCTTCGCCCTGATGCCGACCCCGAATGCCCGACCTGCGGGATATGGTCGGACCTTGATCACCTCCTCCTGGACTGCCCGAAACATGCCGACGACCGGGCGGCCATGACAGCATCCTTCGCCGCGCTAGGTCAGTTCTGTAGTACAAGAGACGAAGTTATGCGACGCAGGAGCAACCGACGCGCAAAGATAGAGCACTCAGGGCCCTCCTTACCTTCCTGGAGGAGACAGGTCTTCTCTGGTCCCTATGGACCCAGCGCGACGATCAGCACCGCCCGACAAAGCACGGCCAGGTAACCACGTCCACCTCGCCCATCATCCACCCAAAAAAAGTGAAAGATGGCCGGCGCGCGCGGCGGCGCGCCGCACGGCTTCTCTGTCACCTCCTCTCCCCTGGCGCGGCTGCCCCGTTGCTAGGGGACACTCGACGGGGCCGAACCGCCCGGGCGGAACGAGTGGTGTGCCCGCCATCCACCAGGTGGCGGCTTCTCCTTGGGAGACCTAGACATAGATTTAATAAAGTCATTGGGTTTTAGAGACAGCGAAGGGAGAGTGGATTTCAAGACTGTAGAGATTACCAAGCAAAGATTAAGTGAATGGTGGCAGAAATCGAGAGAAAACTAGGTATTTTCTTATTCACTGATGGCAAGGGGGTTTCATAGCCTCACTTTCTTTGCACTGCGGAGTGAATATAGATTTCACATTTAAATATTCTAAGCTTAAATGGTAAAACAAAATGGCTAGGTGGCGTAAGCTACCGCCCGATCCAAAGGACTCAGCCGTATTCATCCATCCATCCATCCAACCTCCATTCCCTCTCACCAGGAAGCGCTGGCAGCGCCGACGCCCGCCGGGGTCTCAGCACGGCTGCGTATTTTCGGCACCGACTTGAATCACAAGGGGCGTGGCCAGTGATGTGACGGACCTCAAAATAATGTTATGTCAGGATTTTTGTTATTCTGACGTCCGTGACGTCAAAATGGTTTATATTTGTTGTTATTTTGACCAAAAAAAAAATGGCGTGCTTTGCATGTTTCTGTACCGGCGGCTAGAGAGCTTCGTCGCGCACTTTAATATATAAAATTATGGAAATAGACGCGATCTCCTTAGTCCTGTGTTCAACGCCCGGAGAAGCATCGTACCTTGCGTGCCGTCGTCGAACGAAAGCTGAGTGGTTTGCGTTTTGCTATGATGGTGATCTCTTCGTTCCACGCGTCCGAGCTATTTCTTCGTTTCAAATCTATTATTTGGCGCCGCTGCCTACATTGTTGAAGCCGGCTCTCACGATTAAAACACGCATCGCAGAAAGCTGAAAGCCCCCCGAAGGACCAGCTGGATGACTTGCGAGCTAAACCTAATTCAACAAAACCATTTGATCCGAGAGAATAATGTGTTTGATCTTACATCCCATGTCAACAAAGAACTGCGCTGTCTATCTTCGTCCCTACATGTTTTATTCTTTCGTGTTTTTCAAATCTTTACCAACCCGCGTCCGATCGAAGGCCCCGATCACAACAAATAGTTGGTCGTGCTCCGGTGGCCCTAAGTTACGTCAAGCAACGTCATATTCTGAAACTGTTAAATTCTATCTCCACCTCAAGTTTCACATTCTGGTGCACTTGCAGCTTCCTGCACCCCTGGAGGTTTCCTGCGATCGTACCCTGTATATCATGGATTTCTCGCCGTACGCGAGGGCTCTCAAAGGCGTGGGTTGTGTGCAGAAAAGGCACAGGCCCGAGCACATGACAGTGAAAAGCGGTGAAGCTTGCAATTTAAGGTTATTATTATAATGCAATTAAATGCAAAGGTGCAAGCGAGCTATAGAAGAATGACGAATATAATCCCTGGAGAAGGGGGACAAAGGACAAACACAAACACACGGTCGCGCACCAGTCACCTAGCTGTGTTTGGAGATTTGTGTTTGTCCTTTGTTCCTCTTGTTCCCCTTCTCCAGGGAATATCTTCGTCATTCTTGTCCAGCTCGCTTGCACCTTTGCATTTTAAAAATGTTGGAAGAGTCAATGATGTGGTCAGTCATTCATGTTACTTTTTCTACACGCACGTCCAGCCTAAGTTTACGTAAAGCCCCAATTGCCACTTAGGAACGGAAATAATTTGTGCGACAGACTAGGCGGCAGCATTGTGGAAGCAAACTACCTGATTATATATGCCATGTTTAGAGACTACATTTTATGACAGGTTATGAATTCAGTGGCAAATTCCCCCCAAAAGAATCTACATCAACACCGCCAGCCAATTGCTGCCGTCAGCTGTTGTGACGTCGCGTCCAGCAAAGAAACTACAGACTAGTATTTTTTATTTTTTTTTGAAATGGTAGGTTTTTGTTGTTGATGCCACATAGCACGTCGACACTCAAAGCAATTCTTCCGCTCTTGACCTCTCCGGTTTCACCTTGCGAAGTCGTGACGGTGTCTGCTTTTGTTTGCGGTATTTCTCGTGTGTCGATGGAGAAGGCAGCGGTTGTATCGCCAAGGAAGTAGCAATCAATCTGTGCATTCGCTCCAGTGACACAGTGTTACAAACCGGACTTTGCCCTTCGGCAAGGGCAAAGTCTAATGACTGGCCCTACAGTTGCCAGCATCGTGCAGCCGTGAATGCGTAACTTTTCCGAATGCTTTCATGCTTTCGTCTGTATACAGTGACAAAATGACTCGCTGAATGCGAAACGCCATATAGCCAACTGCAGTAGACTCATTAATTCAAACTGCAGGAAGTCACAGGTTTTAGTTTGAATTATCAGTAGTTTGAATTATCAGAAATTCATCTAAACATGATACTAGACGATATTATGATTTGTTACATGGATAGCTACTCATTCAAAGCAGATTTTTGCCAGTTTCCTTTACATAGGCCTAATTATAAGCAAGTACAGGCATAACACATTGGTGAAAGAGCTGTGACGTTAAATTTATTTATCCGGCCAAAAAGTTGTCGATTGTGGACTGTTTAGACAGTACATTCGATCTCAAAACAAAATTTTCAATACCTGCCAATGCAAGTAGCTTTTTACGGGACTCTTCCTTTGCAGACAGAAACATCCGGAGCTGAGCGATGTGCTCAAAGCTGTGGCTGTGACAGTTGGTAGCAAGTCATCCCTTTCTTCATCGTCATCTTCACTCACTGCTGCACTGTGCTGGCATTACTTCCTGTACTATGTCATCTAATGAGTCATCACGACAAACACACGCATCGTCGTCAAGACTAGCATGTTCCGCCAGCTCAGCGTTCACATTTTGTGCTTGAAGGCCAGAAAGCATGACGCCATTGAGCTGGTCCTTATCCTCAATGTCGCCTTGGTCATCATTGCTAGTGTTGAAGCACATAATATGAACGCTGCTTTCCGCTAATGTGTGCCCGCTTGAGCCCCATTGAGTGCACTGCAGAGAAGCAACACTCGCAAAAGCAAGCTCCGCAGGTATCCCAGGCAGCACAAAATGAACGGACGGGCAATGGCTGAAGCATTTTGGCCAGTCACATTTCCTCCGGCCTAAGGCCGGTCAAACTACTATTCCCGAACATGGCTGTGGGCCTTGGCCAAAGACTTGAGGGGACTGGCTGTTGGAGGCTGGCCGATGACCTATAACAGGACACAAGCCGAAGGCTAGCAAATAAAGACCGGCCAAAGACTTTGGTATGGACAAAGGCCAAAGGTTAGCATCCGTGCACTGGCCAATGCCATGTAGCTGAAAGCAAGCCGAAGTTGCGCAACAGGACATTGGCCAATCACCTGCGATTGAAAGCTGGCCGGAGTTTAGCAAATGGAGGCCGGCCGAAGACTTGTGTCAGGACACAGGCTGAAGGTTAGCATCTGGGCACTGGCCAATGCCGTGTGGCCGAAAGCAAGCCGAAGTTTAGCAACAGGGCATCGGCCGGTGTCCTGTGATCAGAGGCAGGCCGGAGTTAAGCAACTGGGCATTAGCCGTACATTAGATGTCAGGTGCTAGGCGAAGAAGTTTGACCGGGCACAGGCCGATGACATGCAGCTGGACTCAGACCGATCCCTCGCAACTAATCATAGGCCGTACCTTTGCGATTGGGTGCTGGCCCTACAGCCGAGGTCGCACATTAGTGAGCGACTTGCAGTTAGGTGTTAGCCTTGCAATTAACTCATGGACGCACTGCAGAACATGAGCCTGTGCCTGACATTTTGCCTGCACACTTTGCGGTAGCTGTGGATGCTGTATCAGTTAAGATCAACCACTTGAGATCAAACGTCGGGATGCACAAACTCACTGAGAACTGGTTTGTATTGTTAAAACAAAAAAGGCTGAGGATTTTCTGGGACTATTTTTATTTAACCTTTTCCATTTCTTCATCCTGCTTCTTTCTTCGCCCACCATCACGGTCGACAAATGACCACAGCCATCTCTTTGCGATATCTTGAACCGTCGCCTCGCTAAAGTCCGTATACTTCGCCTAGCTGGCAGCTGAGAAAATAAAAAGCATTGAGTTTAGACATAAAATTGCAGTCAACAACGTTTATCGAACTCGCAAAAACTCTCTACCAGTCTGACATACTCAGTAATTCGATATAGACCGACACAATGTTTACTAACAAGCCCGCGTTCGCCCACACCAGGTGTGGGCACTGCGCACGCGCAGCAACCGAATTCGAGTGAACTGAGGCTTCTGCGCATGCGCAGTGCCGTCGACAGCACCACCGCAGCTGCGTGACGTCAGGGAGGCGTGTGTGTCTATAAAAGTTCTAATGATTTTGACAACAAACAAGAACGCCACATTTAGGAAAGTTGTTTGCTCTCAAAGGAGCATCTGTATGTCATAAGGGACGCGTCACGCGGATAGTCAGTGGCCGTTTCTTGATTTTTCAAGGTCTCACCCGCTCACCCTCTCCCCATACCCTTTACAGAAGAGAATTTTTTCTTCTCTTCCGGGTGGTCGACACGGCCTCTTGAAAGAGAAAAGCCAGCTTGCTCTACAAGCTGGCTTTTTGTATTTCAAGCGGCCTCATAGCCAGCAGGCGCACTGGGGGAAAGCCAGCTCTGCAAGCTGGCTTTCCCTCAAGGGCTTGTCTGCATTGAGAGATAGCCAGCTTGCAGAGCAAAACGGCGCTCTTGGTAGTTCAATCTACACATGGGTGGCACGCGACGTCATTCAAAAAGCGCTACGATGACCACCAGGGAGGAGGGCAAGAAGAAGCTCGCCTCTTATCAGGGCCCCCTTTTGTGCCTCCCAAATTTGCCCAGTCGTTCCTATTCTCCCCCCAGAAGAATATAGAAGATTAGCCCGTCACTCAAGATTCTTACAAAAGAAGCTTCCCTCTCCTCTTACATGGAGGCCAAAAATATG